GGGCGGAGCCCGAGCGCCCGGCCGTGCAGTCGTGCCCCACCGCGTCGGCAACGGTGTGGCACTCCATGGAGAGACAGGCAGACATCGGTGTCCGTTATGGTTGGCCGTGAGTAGATCTTGTGCCACGGACGACGGGAACTCGACGGGGACAAGGCCGAGCGCGGATCTTGCTCCCGCGAGGCCCACGGCATTGACGTCCTCCTCGTCGTGGCCCTCGCCACCTTCATCACCCAGGTCGAGTCGCCCTCCCGTGGTGGCGGAGGTGGAGCCATCGAGGAGCGGGGATAGCCTGAACCCTAGCGTCCAGGTCGTGCCCTGCCGCGTCGGCGACGTTGTGGCACTCCTGGGAGAGATGAGGGCGTCCGCTGTGGCTGGCCGCTACGTCGTTGCGTGCCACGAACGGGAGCCCGGCGAGGACGGGTCCGAGCGTGGATGCTGCTCCCGCGTGGTGCACAGGGTTGAAGCCCTCTTGCGTGGTCGAGCGCACCGACGACGGGGGGTGTGCCGGAACCTGGCGAACAGTGACCACCACGCCGGATGCCGCTTTCCACTGCGGCCCGCATGCCGGGGCGTCGTTCATGGACGTGTTTTAGAAGGAAGACCTGGGGAAGACAATGGGCAGGTGGAGACGGGATTGGTGTCCATGGCCAAGAAGCTCTATATTTATATAGCTGTAGGGCAGTTGGTTGATGTGTTTCCAGATATTTCTAAGCAGTTTTTTGTAGACACGTGTGCACACGTATAAGTACTTCTGGTTGCTTCCAATTGCTAGGCGAGATGTTCAGGGATATGGGTCAAAGCGGTGAGATCTCCAGAGATATCGGTCAAAGCGGTGGCTGACCAACTGCCCACAACGTGTAAAAACTCTTGACCAGTAAAAACAGACACCAGCCTAGGAGTAACTTATTACACGTGTCATGCTAACAAGGATGGTAAAAAAAATTCCAGAAAAACCAGGTAAATCGAATCCTTACGGGCATAGTCTTCTTAGTATTAGAGAGGGTTGGAAAGGGTGGATACTGAGAGTAACAAGCAGGTGAATGAATAATTATTTATTATTATTATTATTAGAAAAGGAGGATGGCCCCTGGCCTTTGCATCTGGGAGATGCATGTAGACATTTTATTAATTATTTATAAAGACCTTACAAAGTAATACATCAATATATTTAAAGCCGCCGTCTTGACAACATATGTCGCTACTCTTGAATAAGTGTGAGCCGCCGTCTTGACATATATTACTGATGAGGTGCAGAAAGTGTGAGCCGTATACCCAGACTTCTCAATAATTAATTGTTACGATGACAGATGGGATGACGCACTCCCATTTTATGATGTTGTGTTGATGGAATATTCACACAAGAAAGTGGTGAGAGAAATGTGTGTGCAGGAAGGTCATGCCAATAGTAAGATAGATAAAAGTACTACACCATCTTCTTTACTCCCTCTGATCCATATTACTTGTTGCTCAAACAGATATATCTAAACGTATTTTAGTGTTAGATACATCCATTTGAGCGACAAATAATACAGATCAGAGGGAGTATTTCTTTTGTCATACCATTTTATCTAGGCCAACATCCACGATGCAGTGTCCTTGATATCTAATATACATAAATAAGAGCCCCTTACTATCTAATTTTCGCGGCTTCTGGTGAAGCCACGTCATCACTAATTTCTTGCGATGATGTGCGTGTTTTCTCGGTAGCCTAGCTTTGCTTGTGTATTTAGCCCACCTAATTATCGCGCAGTAGGTCACAGAGAATCGCACTATGTCGGGCAAGGTTATCTCGTGTTTTGGCTCCTAGATACATATGCACTCATTGTCTAAATACACATTTTAAAAAGTTGGAAAATTCGGAACAAAATTCCACGGGTATATCCGGACATTCTATGTGCATGCACAAAGTTTCGGTGAAAAATAACGTTTTTTATGGCTTGTGTAAAAAAGATAAAGTAATGCAAAATGAATAGTTGTAATGAAGTATCAGAAATTGTCTTTTTTACACAAGCCACAAAAACCCGCGTTTTTCATCGAAAACTTTGTGCACGCATATAGAATGTCTGAATATACACGCGGGGTTTTTGTTCGGAATTTTTCAACTTCTCAACATGTGTATTTAGCCAATGGGTGCATATGCACCTAGGAGCCATTGCCAATTTTCGCATCTTCCCTGCATCAAGTCCCACTAGAAACCATTCTCGTTTCGTCTGCACAGCAGTGCCTCCACCATTACATCCTCTCCATCCCGTTGTCGATAGTTCAACGGGTAGAACCACACCTTTCTCCAAGTCGCCTACTCTTGCTCTAGGGCCGCCATGGGTCAGCGTTATTCCATCCAAATTGCCTATTCCTGCCGCCGCTACCTCCACGGGCCAGTGTTATTCCACCATGATCACTCTTCGATGAATTCCTCTCAATTTTCTTATATTTTTCTTTGATTCATGGCCTCGTGTTTAGTTTCTTGCTCCTCCATCATTTCATGGGATGTCTCCCCGAAGAAAGTGGCAAGCTTTCGCCGGGTGTCATGTCGTCGCCAGTGGTGCCAAAGCCGTGGAACTTGCTCGCCTAGTCACGTTCACTGCCTTCATGAAAGCATTCATGAAAGCATTGTAGGTGTAGAACGGGTCGCCCTCTCACCTGCTCTGGTTGTGGTCGCTCGGCATGGAATCGAACATGTTGCCGGCTTGCTACTTCCTGCTGGTGATGCCACGATCGATGTTTTTTTAATGATACATCAAAGTTGACGTATCGAGATCATAGATAGAAGGCGCCAAGATGGCGATACAATCGGTTACATAGAGTCCACGGCCGCATGGGCCAACACACACCTCATGCTAATTACTCGCTACTATCCAACCTATCTACCCTAACCGGGAGCGATCCCGGCTGCCGTAATAGCGACGCAGCCCTCCAGTTCTCTCCTTCCGCGTTGATCCGCTCGAGCACCACGTCGACAAAAGGCAATGCGCCGTTGAAGACGACGTCGTTTCTGTGCTTCCAAATAGTCCATGCCACCAAAGTGATCACCGTCCAAGCTTCCTTCCTCATCCTCATCTCTATGCCACAATCAATGTGGAAAACCATTGCCCATGGCTTGCATGCTTCCGTTAGATTGTAGTCAAGTCAGAGAATCAAAGTACCTACCAGTTGCTTGACATATATAGCTGTAACGTGATGTCAATCTACTGAAGCTTCATTACAATATTCTAATTCTAAGCCATCGAATAGCTTGTTGAAACAAGTGTTTAGGTTAAATAGTATGTCACTAGATATTAGGAGCCAGAGGAGGATTTCAGGTGACTAATAATATTCATCTTTATTATTTTCATGTGTAAAATTTCATTACATTCCTTTAATATTTGTTGCAGCGTTGGAACATATTGGAGATAGGCAAAATAGAATTAGTTGCCTCAGAAGCTACTTTTGGCATGAGAGAGTGTGGGCCGTTGTGTATTTGTATTTTGTATCATTCAATTTTGAAACTTATCATTGTACGTACTACAAAATTTCCGTCGTCTTGGCATGCCACATCACACAAAAACCATAGAGTTGTTATTACACATGAATTGTCAGGACACTTAAACACATCTTTCACTCCCTCTTGTAATTCCTCGTGACACCATATGTACTGATAATGGCGTACCGTGTTTACTCCCCAACTCACGAGTCTTTGTTGTCTGTCAATTAACATTTACAGTGTCGAGTGATATAGTACCATTATTTTATTGCAATTCTTTTTTGCGTCTATGTGTTAAGGATAAGGAGGACAAGTTACGGACGGGAACTTATGGTTCTCGGATGTAATTACACCCGATTTTTTTTAAATAGTAATTTGCAAGAAAGGCAAAAAAAATCTGAAACCTTTTGCAAGCAAAGTAGATTTATTGTTGCATTCGTATACAAAATTCGCCAAGAAATGACTTTCATGTTCTTGTGGACGTAAAAAAAAACAAATTTGTCACTATATATGAGGTACTGTTCATGCTATATTCCCTGACAATTTGTCATTTTTGTCGGATAATATTTCATTATAGAATATTTTTGTACGACAGAAACGACAGCTCAAGTTTATTGGGAAAAAGTTTTGGAAGTTTTGACTTTTTCTGAATTTTTTAGAAATAAAATCGGTTATCAGGTGTAATTACCACCATGTTCCAAAGGGTGTTTTCCGACAAGTTACCTGCTATTAGCACTATAGCCACTTCTATTCTTATAATTTCATGCATGACACATATTTTCAGGTCGCAAGTTAGATAGGGGTGAAATGTTAGTGCAATAAGGAGCTGTCAAAAAGGACATACCAAAGAGAACTGACGGAGCAATGAGGAGGGTTGACATCACCAGGCATGATCATCTAACATGATTATTTTCAAGTACTTCTGCCGACTTTCACGCAGCAACTCTTCCAAACTCATTGCCAGTGGTGTTGGTCAATGCATATGTGACTCTTTGTTACGGGCATTGTACAAGAATTGTATATATTAGAAAATAACTTCAGGATATTATATAAAAAGATGAATGTGTATTCCAAAGAAGCTCAGACGACTAAACAAATTTCTTGTTCATCCTTGTTTCAACTCAACCAACTATAGCCACATGGAAATTAGTGTTCAACTTATTACGGAATAACTACACTAACAGAAATTTTGATGTTCATATATAATATATTGCTCATGATATTTAGCCACTTCGTTGTTTTCATGATTCTTTTAGAACTTCTACACCATTCAACTATAGTGGGTGAAGATTTGCGCCGGAGTTCAGAATCAATGTGATATGATACAACATTACAAACTCACACAAGACGTTACAAAATGTTTGCGTTCCAGATACAGACAGTGTAGGCACAGGCCATGACAGAGCAATCTCCAACCGTCCAGCCAAATGATGCAACAAAGCAAGTTGCTGTTTCAGGTGGTAACGACAGAGTTCAGTCATTTTAGTTACAAACATTTTGGTACAGAAACCGCATGATAACACATGGTGAGCTCAACTTATTAGTCTGCCGTCCAGCTCTGCTCAACAATCTCCCGCACTTTGCGGTTGTACTCTCGCTTGTTCTCACTGAACATGCGGGCAGCTTCTGAGTTAGCAGGCGAATTCGGGTTAGGATCACACAGCAGCGACTGCAAATGGCACAAAAGCTCAGGTTAGTTCAGCCCAAGCACAACCAACACCATTGCCTCCAACAGAGACATGCAGAGTGACTGGAAACACAACACGGTTTCTGTGTAATATCACTCACACTTTAAAACTTGCATAGGCTATAGAGAGAAATCAACCTGTAGGCCATTAATATGTTGAATGAGCAAGATAGCAGAAGTAAACTGAGGGACTTGATCCATCTAATCCAGTGGCTATCAAATCCATAGGCCTCAAGTATCTCTACTATTAAAGGGGAGTCTGCCGTCATGATGGTACGTCGTGGTTTCGTTTGGTTATGTCACATTAATTATAGAGAGTAACATTCTTTGGACATGAGGATCACATTAATTATGGAAAGTATCATCGAGCGTTTGACGGGAGGATCGCGTTAATTATGAAGAGTAGCATTCTTTGGACGGAAGGATTACGTTACTAGTGGAGATATCATTCTTTGGACGGGGTATCACACTAATTATGGAAATTATCACCGAGCTTTGGACAGGAGGATCACTATAATATGTATGCTCCGTTGCAATGCATGGGCAATTAGCTAGTAATAATAATTATGCAGTGCACCAACGTGTCAAGGCTTTTTCAAGTCTAGTTTGAGCACCTCAATCTCCCTTTTAGACTGATGGCGCTGCTGAAGAAATTTGGAACTCCAAGCATTATAGTCCTGAATTGTATGGCCTTTGATGAATCTGTATTGATTCCTGTGGCCAAGGTCGAGAATAACCTTCAAGGCGATTAGGCAAGATTTTAGGTGGTGTTTTTTGGTTTGGTGGCTATCCATGCAAGGGACAGGTATAGCCACTTTTTGGTGCGATACCACTAGTTTAGAAGGAAAGATAGCAGAGGGATAAGGGCAACCCCATTTGGGGAATACTCTCCATATGTTGGTTGACGATAGCCGTGAAAAAATGCCAGATGAGAGAAACCAGCTCGTGAAGTTGCAATTCCCTCATCCTCTTGAAATGTTTTTCTCCTATCACCGCCTTTATCTCATGTAATAACCCAGCCACACCGATCCCGTCCCTCTCGCTAATCCCTGCTGCGGCTTTGGTGGCCGCGCACAGAGCTACAGTAGAGTGTATCACTTAGCAAGCGACGGCGCTAGGTCAGTGCCTTATCTCCTCTTTCTCTCCCAGGGATTTCCTCTCACCTCTCACCCTGCCCGCTCCTTTCTTCTCTGTCTGCAGCAAGAGTGTGAGCGGCAGGGCAAGCTAATGGGTGAGCAGCAGGGCAAGCTAATGGGTGAGCGGCGGCAGCATGCTTGCTCAAGGTAATCCGAGATACAATTATTAGAAAGGATAGGGTCATGTGTCCATAATTGTAACAAGCTTTGCATCTAACGTCCGAGGTGCAATTAGCCTGTGGGTGGCAGAATCCCAGGCATTTACTACAAGATACAGGCAGCAGGGCGTGGATTGGCTAATTAAAGTTGCCAAAAAATGAAGATGCACTAATTTAATTGATCCCCCACATGCTCAAACAATTGGAGCAAGTGTGTTGAAAATATACGTAGCACTGCAGAGCTACCCAAATATGTCATGCACGAGTCAAGACTTGAATAGATTCCAAAGTTGAATTTTAAAATATATGCTCTAGTAATTAAGTAATGAGCTGGCATTGCAAAACGTTGGTGCATAAAACTATAAATAATCTGAGCTGCTTATTTCTTGTACCTGGATAGATGTAAGTATAGCAGCTACATCATATATTGGGCTCCACTGATTCTGTAGAATATCTAAGCATATGCTTCCATCAGCATAAACTGCAGGCCACAAGAAAAAGGTCACGATGACAAATAGAAGTGGAGAGTACAAGACTTGTATAGTTGTTTTTGGCTTTCTATCAGCAGAGTAAAAAGAAAGCAAAAGTTTCATCAGCATAAGCGATGCATGCACTCAAAGTATGCTGTAAAGGCTGCAGCATGCTTGCTCAAGGTAATCAGCAAATATGTATTCACGGCATAAAATCAATATCAAGCCTTCACAGCACAACCGACAAGTGTACATCTATAAAGCAGGTAACAAAATACAAAGGACGGTAGTTAATTGTTGGAAGTCTCTGAAACAGAAGGAACAAGAGAACTAAGGGCAAACAAAGTAAGTAGGCTCCATATATAAAAATATGCACAGATTTAAAAATTAGATACACTTGGTAGTATGTGACAGATCAATCTTTCAGTTAGAAATACGTGACAGATCAATCTTTCGATTAGAAATGCATGACGGCTTAATTTTATCTATGTATTCCCTCCGTAAAGAAATATAAGAGCATTTAGATCACTAAAGTAGTGATCTAGTAGTGATCTAAACGCTCTTATATTTCTTTACAGAGGGAGTATCTAACTATTTCCTGTGCACACAAGTATTTAAAGATGAGGTGAAAGTGTGAAACAACTTACTGTTAGGGTGAAACATCCGAGAAATAAACCGAACTGTTGGTGGCTTATTAGGATATTCTTCATTAAACTGGAGAGTCAGCTTAAACGTGCCTGAAAATGGGATACAGCTCAGCACAAAATGGAAGGAAGAAATCAAAATATGGAATCAGAACTAAAATAACAGGGATACCATATTTATAAAGCGTCCCGCTTCAGACGCTTAAGTGTCGCTTAAGCGACAAGGCGCCCTGGCAGCGCCTTAGATATTTGCCCGCTTTAGGCGCTTAGGCGTCGCTTAAGCGTTAGAGCGGGTGGTGCTCGCTTTAGGTCGCTTTACCGCTTTATAAACCATGCTATATAAGCAACCTATTTGCCATACAAATAGTGCATGTGATGTTAGTTACTGCACTGAGTTGACCTAGACTCTGTTCTCAAATTTTGTATTGTCGTTCTGTTGAGGAAGGTTCTAAATAGCTATCTGGACTACAGATTGTTTTGGACCCTAGTCGTTAAGCGATATGCCAATGTTCCACTATAGTAGTGATAACCGCTATAGCTTCAAATAGCTCAGCTATTTGCCTTAGCTAGCCATAACTCTTCTATTCTATATAGGTACTCCCTCCGTCCCAAAATGTAAGACCATTTTTAGTGTCAAAAATGGTCTTACATTTTGGGACGGAGGGAGTACCTTTCACCAACACAACATGCTAAATTTGGAACTCAACTTCAACTTCGTAACAAAGCCTACTTATATTATAAGCTTAATAACTTATGAGAAAACCTATCAAAGTACCTCTTTTTTCTCTGCTCAGCACTCTGATAACTACATGTCTAAGTAGTTAAGTACATGGCATTTATTCTGAAGAAAACAGGTTATGGTCATTTGTGTCATTTTATATTCCACACTGCCTTACATGAATAATGTTGTATATTTATTATTTTTCTAATACAGTAGACAGACACTATTCCAACGGCCTCAGGAAAGGAGTGCATGGACAGCAGTGGCAACGACAAAATACAACATCAGGGAATCCATCATGAGGTTGGTTGGCACATAACGGCGCATCCCCATTTCGATGTTGTACCACACCCCTGATTCGCCACATCATTCCATATGTCGAACTCCCAATATTACGACAGGAGATATGCAGATTGGAATCGCAAACACATTGCTAATCTTTGGTGGCCATGGCACCTAGCATGTCCAGGCAAAGCCAAATTGTGCCATATACAACCTCATTCGTCTGCATCGTCCGTTGGCCAGCCCACATTAAATTCACCAGAACCAGATACGATCATGCAGCTATGTTTGGGGCCAACGCCACCACACACCTTAATCACACGCGCCACCACCATCCCCCACCCAGAGACGATCATTCCCTTGGCGCAAAATTCTGATTTAAACCTTTGCTCTCGACAGTGACACCAACATTAATAATTGCACCAATTTCGAAATGGTGGTGATATTTTTATTTATTTATCTCGGTTTATATCATTGGTATCAACAGGTACTTTACATACTTGAATATGGAATGAGGGATATTTCTCCTGTCCATGTTAATTCCAATTTGTGATTTACCACTGTGTTTGCTTGTGAGGTACTATGTATTTGACTGAGGTGACAAGTTTACATGGCCATATTTTGTTCTGCCAGACACCTATACTAGTAGATTATGGTATTCCATAGCACTTGATTAACATTAGTATGTTTGGTATTAATCTTCCGTCACCAATGGCAGCAGCATATGTAAATGATATTAAATGCTTACACACATGAGACCTCAACTGCAGGTAGAAACGATAGATTTCAACAGTTCAAGAACAACCAAAACCAAGGGGGTCCAGCAAGGAAATTCTAGGACATCATTCAAAGAGCTAGCAACTACACTTAGATCAACTAACCTCCATCCCACGGGCTATCGTCAGGGCTGCAAATCAACACGAGCAAATGCATGAGCACACCATGACCCAAAAACATTGAAGTGGAAAAGAAAGGGCCGGCGCGACCATGTAACCCTAGCATCATTCATACCCAAAAATCACAGCATTCCAAAGCATTATGTTGTTGTCCTGCGGCGCCCCGCTTATGCCCGCAGGAGGGTCCTGCATCAGCCGCTTGAAGTCCCTCATCAGCCTCTTCCTTGAAGGAGTCGACATCCTCGAAATTCTCTGCGAAAGCCACACCACCATGTGAGTACACCGCCACAACAGCTAGCAACCGATACATAACGACGCCAACCCAAATTTTCGCGAACATCGGAAATGAATCTACGACACGGAATTCGCTCGCGGCGCTCTCGCTCCCGCGTGCTCGGCTCAAATCGTCCCTCCTCCGACCCAACTGCTCGTGCCCCCGCCTTCCCGCGCACACCAGCAGGCGAATTTGACAAGAGAACAAGCGCCTATCTAGGTCGAATCGAGAGCTCTAGCCTAAAAAAAAAAAATCCCCAAAACGAACCGAATCGGGGGGGCGAGGCTAGGGATCGGG